CATTCAGAATCGTAGTGGCGTAATGAGTGCGTATGTGGCCTATACAATGACTTGCGGTGGCCAGCCGATGTACAAGTCAGTGTTTTTAACCTCCCAGACGAGTCTGGTACCAATTTACTTGACTTTATTTACTTTTAATTTTTTTACAACTAATTTTCCTTCAACAGAGGAATTTATTGTTTACAAAGTTGTCTCACTCCACCTTCTACTCCATTTCAGCCTGAACATCAGCTTTCAATCATCACTATATTCAATTGATGGCCTTTTTGGTAACTGTGAATCAAGTGGCTTCATTGGATCATTGCTCAATTTTACAAAACCGTTGGCTGACTTGACATGCAAGGTGATATCTGCTTATTTCTATATTTCACCAATTTTTTTCACTTCGATTTTGATGAAAAGGTCGCTCGAAGCCTCCAACTCCTAATTTTTGTTGCACCGTGCGGATTAGATTCAAGATCGAGACGTTCTTAGTATGAAAGAACTTTATACAGTGACGGTTGAGAATCAACTCTTCTTCATCTTTGTGCATATATCCGAGTTCCGCAGTTAATAAAATGCGAATTGATTAGTTTTGAGTAGCTCGATATGATGTTCCGTCTTGCCTAGGATCGGTCAGGAACCTCCTATATTCACAGCGATCTGACTGTTATAACTTGGAAGTACATGGAAGCGTTTGCCCTTGTAAGGTACAGCAAATCCGTTGTAACGTTGTAAAACATAGCGGCGAAGTAGCTGTTAGCTGATTTTAAGAGCTTTTCTTTGCTTTCATAAGTGTAATAAGAGGATGGTGATCGCGAGTGGCACCCACTTTTACAAGCATGGTTAGAGAAGGAAGTCCTTGACGATATCCGATATCCATCTAGTAAAATCAAGCCTTCCCTCACTCCAGCTCAGAGCCGGAGACTCCATCCTTGTTCTATTTATTTGTCCTATTATTATTTTTATTCCCAGTTTTTCCTTTTTCATTGATATTTTCAGCTTTTTCAATTTGATATTTTACTCCATGTTTTAGACTGCTGGTTGTGCTTCGTTTCCATCAGCCAACCTTACGAGGTGCTGTTGTAACACGGATCTCTGCAATACTTCCGCTAGATTATTCCCTTTAATTGGAGCTCTTGGATTTCTCATACTTATGCTGTTGTAGCCTTAGAAAATTTCTGACTTCTCCAAAAACTACAGAGCCTTATTACTGTAAATCATGATCAATATTTTGGTGGGTAAAAAAAGGTCTAAATAATCACTCGCGTGATTATGTAGACCTTTTTTTAAGCACCAAGATATTTAGCTTGTTTCATATCTCTCAGAGGAAGTTACTATGATAGGGTTGCCGATTTCTCTTGAAAAAAATGTTTGAGAGCCTTTTAATGTAATAATTCCATTTCTACTGCAACCATCTACATATATTTAGTGAATTTTGTTGCCAAAATCCAGAGCCATGTAATTTTTTAATTGTCGTGTACTGTAATTTTCAATTACGGCATTATTGAATATTAAGATCGAGCTCACGCGATTTATGCTTGCTAATTGTTTGTTTTACAAGGAGGCATAACACCACCGGTCGACTACATAGAGGCGTAATTGTACTGGTAGTTAACTTTGAGGCATAACTACTGCTTCGGTGACCTTCATTTTTGCATTTAGTCAATATTATTATATATTTTGAAGATGGGACCCTCTTTTTTCGTCCCATCTACTGGGAATTCCATGCGGTGTTATTGGGAACTGCTTTCATTGTCGTAATTGTCCATGTTGATATTGTATCTTATACGTGTACGTGTCAGAATATAAATACAGAAGAAATGTCTCATCTCCTTCCAACCCATTCAAAGAATACCAAGAAGCGAAATGTAAATTTTCCTTCGTCTTCCTCAATTGTCATCAGAAGAACCAGTAGTTTTTGTATCGCTGCCGAATTGCCTCCCAAACTAGATAGGCGGTTGCTTGAGATCCTTTATGAACTCTCGAGTAGCTATTTGGCCAATTGAATTATTCAGGACTCGGAACTTTTTCATTATCTGTGTAAAGACAGAAATAGTTTAGAAAGAGCCGGAGGGAAGGGCGCAAAGCAGAATGACAACAGGCCAGTAAGCCTCCGTTACATCTGGGATATCTTGTATCACCATTGATTGTTTGGGGAGGAGAAGACCATCTCGCCCCAAGAACCAGGGACTGTCCGAAATTCCCACTGTTCTAGTAGAATTTTGGATGAGGAAGTTGTAATTATTATACATATCTAAAAAGAAGTATTACGATAATCGTTGATAATGTCATATATTTGGTCAATGCCTCGTAAATATGTGCAGAGTTTCACAATAGAGTATCCCTTAATAAATATACTTCAGACCTTAACATTTTGGCTGAATACACCTCCTATTAGGTCTACGCAGCAGGATAGTATGCACTCCTCCATTTTTGAAAACTATTTTCACTAGGAAACTGCTCTTTACCCAAACACCATGAGAAATAAACGCAAGTTTACCTAAAGCAAATTTATCAGGATCCGATTCAGGCTGTTCAATAGATTTTGGTTTCTTGATTATATTGAATTCCATCACTCGTTCTTTGAAGGAGTGTTGAAACTAGTAAATGTCGGCAGTGTTTGTTTGAACGACTCGGAAAACGAACTCACGCTGAAGCATCTGTTTACGCTTGGTCAACAATATTTTATGGCCTTCAGACTGGAAAGCAGATTGCTTCCAAAATGCAGATGATGATATGAGCAGAAATTCAGAGAAAATGAAAGCTTTTGGTAGGGACTCAATACTGGCGAAAAAAGGAAAATGGAGTAATAACTGAAATGGACACCATTTGTAGGCTCATATTTTCAGAGGACCGAATCATATTAGTAGGGAAAGGCTGGATCAAGAAGAAAAACTGTAATAGGAGGCCTTTATTGGCGAAAATGAAAGAGATATAATGGTTAATGGCAGCGAAGCCAGCAGGATCGGCTAGTGGTTTGCGGTTTCTCTATGGAATCCACAAAAAGTCGAGAACTGTGGAATTAAATTGAAGTCGACGGTTGGACCTAAGAGCATCGTTTCGTTCATGGATTCGTAGAGAACGAACGTAATCCTACATAACCAATAAAAAGAAAAAATGGGAAGCCTGAGGAAATTATTGAGCCTTAGAGAAAATTTCTTGGGATGACTATGATTACTTGTAGATAAAGCCGTTTGAGTGCTTATAGGCAGAGCTATTCAAATGAACCTTCTCTGGTAGAGCGGAAGATGCCGAGTATAGCGGCATATCTATTCACTAGCCTACGACGAAAGAGTGATTGATAAGAGCATCCCAGAGACTGGAGGTGGAGTGAAACGTGATGGACGGGTTTTCCGCTGTAGGTGTAGAGGGTTTAGTCAAGCAAGTTGACCCTATATCATGGTTCTTACAAAAAAGACAGTACATACTGAAGCGATGGTCTGACCAAATGGGCAGAAAAGGAAAATGTACTGGAGTTTTTCGGAATCATTCATTTTTCCAACTTCCTAACCCAAAACTTTTGCTATTGACCATGAATGTAGGAATTCATTCGACGATTTCAAGTTACTACCCCAGAGAGAGAAAATTTTTCATGCTGCTTGTGTATGAACGCTCATTGGTGGTAGTCCATTCCGTGAATTTCGGTAATTTTCACGATAAACCCGCCCTTACAGCTTCTTCAGTTTTTTCTTCTTCGTGAATTACGAGTACACATCTTAAACTATGTATATGGGTTAGAACGACATCTAGCGTGATTGTGTCGGTAGCGGTATGTCAGTTTCGCAATTCACGCACCCACGCTATGCCACAAACTGACTGCTGTTCTCCCACCTGGAAATGTAGTTTGTGACAGGGCGTCAAACATTCTTCCGGTTATTTGCTAACTGCCAGCCCAGTCATGCACAATCGATGCGGCTCACTATCTTTGCGAACTTCAGCCAAGTACTCTTTCTTATTCAGAGAGCGTTCAAAGTGAGGTCGAAATTCTTTTGAACTTCACAGCTCTTCTATTTCCCGGAGAATCGTTCTCGTTTGAATTCGCATTCTTCACAGGCAATACTCTCCATTAAAACCATACGTTGTTTTATACTTCCTAACTATTCCCAATTCTTCAATTCGACTCTTTTATTTCTTGATTTTCATCGCAGAAAATTTTATAAAAAAAATTTCATGGCCCAGATGTGAAGGTGTAAGATTCATGATGTTTACTGTCCCGGTTATCAATGATGCTCGATCAATGTTCAAAGGGTATAAAATGAATCATTGAAAAGAAACTATGAGGTAGAGCTATATGAGAGATCTCAAATTTCCTGTGTTTTCGAAATTTATTCAGGGGAGTAAGGAAGTCAGTAACTAAACTGGAAAAAATTATAAGGAATAAGATCAAAACGGTGATAATAAAATAATTATGACGGAAAATTTAAATGTTTCATTGGTTGAAAAAGTTTTGGAAATATATAAAAGGAAATATATAAAATAGTAAAAATATTAACAAACTTAACAAGCTGTATCATAACAGCAATCGTAGCAGTAATGTAGAAATAATAAAAAACATCTTCAGCAGCTGATCAAGTCGTCCATACTCTCGTTCGTACTTCCTTGTAAGATGGATGTAACATAAGTGCATGTGAACCTTACTTTCGATATCTAACATGGCGGCAAGTTCGCCCAGTCTGAACTGATCACAGTGCCTAACCGAAGGGCGAACCTTACTTTATAAAGATGCTAATGCTAAATCAGAACCAGAAGATGTGCTCTTGAAAAGATTAGATAGGTCGTGACTCGAATCTTATTGTTACCACTGTTGCTGGGTGATCATTATAGCATCATTTCTTCTGCGAGAGTCTCCGAAATAACGTTTCGCCATCATCATCACTAGAATTAATTAATGGGCTCACCCATAAAGTTTCAGATTCGCACCAGTGGCTGATCAGTTTCCGAATAGCTTAACTCTAAGTACTGTTGGATACGATAGGCATCGCTTCGGATAAAAGCAATGGGAAAGGAATAGCTCAGGAATGCCAGATGATATTCCGAAGATACCACGACGTAGGGGCAAGAGGAACCAGCCGTCAAGTAGGTGCCATATAATTATTACATAGAACGAGTCCACTGTTTGATGTGTCATATTGCGAATAATTTATTTAGACAGTGCTTGGAGACAACAACGGCTTTCATCGTACAGGCCCGCCATAAATGCTTATACTGCTTTCCCTTGGACAACTGCACTTGGCATTATATGTCTTGCTATAGGGATACTGCTAAAATTCTCTGTGGACCACTGTGAGTGTAGGATACTAATAACAAATTATATGTTGAATTTTTTAGAGATTGATGCATTTTTGTAAAAATTATTTAATATTCTGATACTTACTCATATATTGTAACGGTTAGCTGATTGACATCTGCATATTTAATCTAGCTTTGGAACTGGTAATCAAATATACAAACTGTACGACTCGTACGGGAATTTCGGCCGATCAGATAACCGATTTCTCTTACCCAGACGGTTCTATGCAGTGCCACCTTTCGTTCTCCATCGCTGAAAATTATACCGTAGGTTTGAAAGTTCTTTGCACTTTCTAGTTTATTTACATGTTGCATATTTACCTTTTTATTTTTGATTTTTTAAATTCTGTACTCCTGATGTCTCATTTGCAAAATATTGGATTTCAAGGGTAACGTCAAATTCTACTACGGACTGCGAGAATTCTACCAGAACAACAGATTATATGTTGAGTCAAGAAATGATTTGCAATTACTAGGGAATCTCGATGAGGTGGGTTTGGTGTTCCCGGAAGTTTAGATTCATCTAGACTATCACACATCCATATAATAATGCAAAACAGACACCGGCTTCTATAGGAGGATAACTGCAGGTAAGGTGAACAAATCAGAAAAAAAAGTTAGGGAAATTGGCATCCCCATGTGTCTTCCTATTGTGACCAATTATTTAATTTGCATCCCTTATGAGTCTATCTACTCTAGCTTCTGTAAATATTATAGACAGAAGCCTTAGACACGGTCTTAACTTCGAGTGTAAGGCGGAGACGGCGCAAATCCAAGAAGGGTTGTCGTTAAAAAGTGAAACTACCACCCGTTTTCATGAACGTTAGAACTACAAACTCACAGTAGCCTCCCATTTGACCAGAATTTCAAAACACAGAACAATTTTTTGTTATAGAATTTTTCGAGGGATCTGATCGCTTTGTTCCCTGATGTTCAGTTATAGTTGATGACTACTTTTTCAATTGTTTTGCACTGAAGGACCATTGTGGGATAACTGCAAGATATTTGAACTGCCTCTATATATATATATATATATATACTCTATTCATTTGTCGTACAATAACGAGAAAGTGTTCGTTCAGTATGCAATAGTAAAGCTACTGCATCCTTACGTACACATAATATGAACAGAATTGTGTGTGGTGAATAAAGTCGTACTGTAGCAGCACCACGCACGCAGTAAGATTACTGTATGATTACCGTACTACCACTGTAGGTTTGTCTTAACTACATATATGGTGAGTATAATGACAAAGTTCTATTCCTCTGCTATATAATCCGATTTAATTGTTTCAGGTCTCCGGTTGTGACCCGTTGGATTACGTGGATGGCATTGACAACATCACATATGCTCCATGTGGTTTTGTTGCAAATTCCATGTTTAACGGTGAGCTAAATGTAAAAGGGGGTGACCAGCTTTGAAAGCCTTTATATTTTTAGTTCAAAGCGTCTTGGCATCATGAAAAGATCCACTGAAATAGATAATATCCCTACTTTTCAGATAGCTTTCAATTACTTCGTCATGGAGAAATAGAATCCTTCTTTGTTGTACCATTCACAACTAGAACTATGATCTCGGAAAAAGTAAAGAAAAGGAAATTCCGCAATCCTGTACAAAATGGCAACGAAACGCTCTGCGATGCTTTCCGGGTCGGTTTACTCACTACTAGCTCTCTAAGTTAAATATGACTGTTCACTATTTCTCGTGAACGCTTGTTTCCGTTCATGTGAGCCCCCTGCTACATGGAAACTCTTGAAGCCGATCAAGGAAACCTCTTTGCAATATTCTAGTTTACTAGTGGGAGTGAGATGGAATTGTTGATAGCCAATCTATTTATATTGCGCAAACTCGTCCTAGAAGGGTCGGTATCAAATGTCACTACTACTAGTAGACTACTCAAATTGGCTAACATAGTTTCATGTGAGCGATGCCCTCGTCGAAGCTTTCTTTTCTTGAACGTCTGCGCGGCCTTCAACATACTCATTTTTTCAGAATACAGCACGGCCGCCATGGTGGCAGATGGACATGTGTAAGCTTGGTGCGGACGCTCCAGGTGTTGGTGTTGGTTTTGAGAACATTGACTTCATAATGTGGATGGGAACGTCAGCGCTACCAAATTTCAGGAAACTCTATCGAGTTTTGGATAGAGAGGTAATAGAGATTTTCCGTTCTCAAGTGAAATATGACCAACTCCTGGAATGTCGCTAACACATCAAAAAACAAGCATCTAAACTCCAAACAAACTTGCAATATTCTAGGATCCTCAGCACTTTTTTCTGAGTAATTATTTCTTTTTTTATCAAAAAAGTCACGTGAAAAGACGCGAAAGTGCAAGAAAGCCTAAATTTCTATCAAAACTTTATCTTCGACCTTAGTAAATCTTCTGATCAATTTGAACTCGGCGATGATTCCTTCCTAGTAACCCAGAAATTTTATTTTCAGGTTGACGGGTTCCGTGATGGATTGCCAAGTGGAATGTACACACTAGTGATAAACTACAGTAAGCCAACTATTTTCAAATTCCATTTGTCCGATTTACTTTCTCAACACTTTCAACAAGATTTTATGTCTGCAGCAATAACTTCTATGTCTGAAAATAATTTTTCTGATATTTTCTTTATCCTGCATTCCTTGTAGGCTTCTGAGCAAAATAGGAATTGCTTAGAGCTGATACCGATACTCTGAACTGCCTAAATTTGTTACTAAAGCACTTGCATTTCGACTTTCAGAATAACTTTACAGACTATCCTGCCCAGTGGAAAGGAGCTGAGAAATCGTTTATAATAACTCGGGAGACTTGGATCGGAGCACGACGGCCGTTTCTTGCTTTTTCCTACATGGCAGTTGGTGTATTCCTCTTACTAGTCAGCATTCTATTTTTTGTTTTTTACCTGAGACACCGATTACTGGGTAAAAAAGACCAGGCAGAAGCTTGACATAAGGGTCAAGACGGTTCTACCCAAATGACTATTACCCCTATGAATACTGCTTAATTCACTTCCCCATAATGTCGCTGGCCAAGAAAAGCTATTGCCAAAGGAGGAACCAAAATACCAATACCTTACGAAATATCCCTCTCTGATAGCTGAACTTCTGCCTCTGGCACCTTTTACTTGAGCAGGTTGATGAGAGGTTCAGGCTTTGCGATCTATCTGTCTTCTTGAAGTCAAAGGCTAGTCAAACCCCTGGAGACCAAAGACCTATTGTCTCCCTCCAGACAATTGTTTCTTTGTCAAATACGGTTGCCGTTGTACAAATCTTGTAAAGATGAATCTCGTGTCACGGCCATTTCATATCAATTGGAAGAAAGATGTGAGAGATTGTCGATTTCTGTAAAATCGCATTAACATTTGATTTTCAATAGTCCCTTGACAATGGAGTTCTAGAGGAGCCGGGTCTGAAGAGCGAACTCGGATTCCACGATCCAAAGTGGTTTTTCTAATGTGAGTACCTCCGAAATACAAAGTTGTCACTAAATCTCTAAGCATTTACCATTTTTCTGGCCTCTTTAAAATGTCACTCGTTTATGCATGAGAGTTCTTTAGATCAATTCCCTTCATTGTTGTTAAACTTTCAAACTCTGTACATGCTATTTTTAGAATATTATTTATTTGGTAATTTTCTACACGATAGACTTTGTGGCTCGCAGCACGATAACCTTTGTTAATTTTGCTTACTAGTTGCTTATAAACACTACCTCCGCTTATTTATGATTCATTCTCTGTCTGTGTGTAACTCAAACAATCCCGTCCAGTATGGAGAGTGCAGATCGCAACGTGAAAGGCTCACATAATTCAACATCTACTTTACATGTGTATATATAAATCAGCAGTTTGTGGAAGGTTTGGAAATACAACTTGAAAGGCGTATTACTGACCATCTGCTGTACACGTTGAAGGAAGGTAACGGATTCGATACCTGAAGTCTTAGTTGAACTGAGTTGAAAATTGCACATCGAATAGTCTGCCAAGGCTTACGTTGCTGAATGGTTTGTCGTTCCGCTCGATGATCCAAGCTTCTGCTTTCTCCGTTCTGCCATTGAAGTCAGCATGCAATGAATATGCGTCTTTTTTTCTACGAGCTGTTTTAATGGAAGCAATCGACGTAACTTCATTAAAGGTTGAGATTCCAGAGCCGGTTGCCGATCAGGGCTGAATTGCCATTGCAGCCTTTAATTGCGACCAATCAATTACGATCTTGGTTTCTGCTAGAACCAGACCCATTGCTAAAGCTTCTCGCATCTTAAAATGATCAGTTCCTTCTAGAAGTGTAAAAAATTAGGGATGATAGTGAGGTTCCTAAGGATCTGTTTCGATA